AGAGAGAGAGAGAGAAATGCTCTTTGTTCCGCGCAAAGGATACAAAATGAAAATGGAACAAAAATGGGATGTGAAGATAAGTAGTCGCTATAATGCTTAGCGTTTCTTTGAAACAAGTATAAACACGTGATGAACTTGGTAGCTGTTTTGTGTGTAAACAATAGCACACGAAGATGTTAGTCCGTGGAACAAGTTAAAGAAACATAGAACGAAGGAGATTTATATTCTGTAAACGTCTCTGTTACTCTTTGAAGCATTCGACGAATGACACTATAGTGAAATGTTACTTTCTAAAACAGCGTTATTGATATGTCCTCCCGGAAATCTTCGTGTCGATTACGAACTCCCGCAATTGTAAAGACAATTTTCATATCCTCTTCTTATCGTCTTTTCTTCAACATTATTAACAAATGTGGAAAATAGATATGAGTGTATAGTAGCAACTGTCATATATCATGCGCAATGTGGACACGATCATAATCATAAAAGTTTTAATTGTACAAAGTGTCGATTACGTAGATAACACTGCGATAACGATTTCTTTGCTATCAATTCGTTATGATATCCGCCTTATATAGAGTGTTTTGTAAGTCGAGGTCAATCACTCGGGAGATAAATGGGAAGATCCAAAACCAAGAAAGAATGTTAATAGAACATAGATAGAACATATAAACATCCGAAAATGTATTATTTTCGAGTTATCGTCATTTTTACGTTGAAATTTGAAATTGCTTTGCTTTCGAATTTTTTTGTCAAAATTGAAAAAAGAGATGATCTTTATAAGTTTTATGACATAATTAAAGTCAACTATACAATCCTGATCTCTGCCCAGAGATGCTAAGCTGTATTTCCACGTGATGTATTCTGTGTAATGCTAAAATAGTCCATAACTTTTGTTTAACTTTATAATCATGTTATAAAACTCATAAAGACCATCTCTTCGTTCAATTTTGATAAAAAAAATTTGAAAACAAAGTAATTTGAAATTTTTTAACATAAAAATGACGATAACTCGAAAACAATGCATTTGCGGATCTACGTTCATATCAACTTTTTTCTTGTTTTTCGGTCCTCAGTCATCTCTCGAACAATTAATCTCCACTTTTGAAACATATGTGCTACGGTTCAAACTCGAATGTAAGAGGAATTCTGTTGGTTTACTGGAATGCCTTCTTTTATACACGAATATGGAGACGTCAGACGATGGATTCGTCAGCCGACAGGAATCTCCTGATTGCTCGCGTGGAATTCTCGTGCTACACGCAATCTGTCAAAGGAATTCGATCGGTCGCGATATTCAGCATGCATAATACGGAAGAAGTCGCCGCTGACCAATCATTGACACCTTTCGCGGAATCAGTTTTTGTCATTGATTCGATCTGTTTGTTCAGTTTTTTGCGACGTGAATTACGTGAGTTAGAGAAAACTGCGATGCGACTGACGCGCTAATAGCATAAAATACAGAGACGTTACATAAAGTGTTGCAAATCGTTTAACACAAATGTTGCGGTCGAAAACATTTTTTTATCGACACATCATTTTAATAATTTATTGAATATATATCGTTTAAAAAAAAATGTATAATTAGTTATTTTTTCGACGACTAAAGAAATATATAAACGCATATGTTTATATATCCAAATATTAAAATACTCACTATCTTCGATAAAATTGTATGATTTTTGGAGTGCGCAATTGAGTGTCAATAATATCGGCTTTCTCAAAATGGAATTACGGGATCAAATGGAAAACTCGTGTCTCGCGACGAAAATGTCAGCGGGTTAAAATATCTCGCACAAGGCGATGGCCGCGCGTGATACAATGGAATTTACTTTATTCGCTATTTAAATTTACTTTAACTGTCCGTGCAGCCCATCGTAAATCCACCGAACTTCATTACGCTCGCTCGGTGATACTATAAACCCGTTACGATCTTGTAATAAGCTTAAAAGGATTGTACGACATTCGCCCATTCTCGCAAGACGTATCTTCGAGTTCTTAATCCCACAATGTGATCTCTCGAACTTTATTCAATGATACGAATAGTATGATAATTTCGTTATCATACGTCTGCACATCTAAACACATTATTTTGTAAAAGTGATAACAGATGACAAGTAATTGCATATTTTCGCAAAAAAAGAAATCGATTCTATTTTTATTAAAAAAAAATCTATGTTTGATGTATCATCTTTAAGTCATTACATTTTAGTCATTATAGAACATTACGATTAATTCATCTACATACAGAAAAATATATCTTTAGATTTAATAAATTTGCTTAAATCCAAAGAAATTTATTTAATAGTCCAACAAAATCAATGTTTGAATTAAACAATGCAATTTCAAATATTTTATATGAAAGAACATTTTTTTGGGAAAGAATTAATCTCATTTTTTAGTTCAACATTTTTATTATATTATTCAAACAATTTCATTATTTCATTAAAATTTCTATTTCTACAAATTTTTTAAATTTCTATTTCTATTTTTTTCATCATGTATTAATAATTGTAAAATAATTTTTTAATTATAAATAATGTTTTTAATTTGTTTAATTTAATTTACTTATTTTGGAACTTTTCATTTTAAGAAATTCCATTTGAATGCAATTCTCATTTTGGAAAATTTTCAAAAAACTATTTCACTAAAAGTGATTAAAATGATCTCATAATACTACGCATCTTTTCATATATGATTTTTATTTATAAGAAATAACTGCGTCCATCTGATAGCGGATTATTTTAAAAGATAGATTTTATTTCATTGAATAATATTTAGTGTAATCAAAGAATATTAATTATTTATTAATATTAATTAATATTAATTAAATATTATTTATCGAAAAAATTGTTTCAATCATATTTTTTCTATCAAATAATATGACTTAATACAACGAATATCTTCATGCAAACATATAAATGTTCCATGTGAAATTATGTTGTTTGAGTCAAACAAACGTAAGTCAAACAAATAGGAATAAAATGTAAAATATCTTCTACCTTATGTATTGGCAAAGAGATTTAAATTCCTACCATCAATTTCGAGCTGGAATACTCCGAGTACTTTGACGTACAGTAAATCGATGGCGTCAAATCGTAGAGATACAGTTATAATATAACGTATCGCGTTCCACGATTGTGACGCGAAGATCGGCAATTGAGGTTACTGCAATTAATTGTAGCGAAGCTTTATCACGTTGTTTTTCAAGAAGCATTAATAACCGTTTCTCACACGATTTTGTTTTCGCGAAAAGGAACTCGCCGCAAGAAACGCCTGTAGCAGAAAGCATGTAGCAGAGTCACTCACGTTGAAACCGGAAGAGAATTATTTACTCGATAAATAACTCGTCCTAATTTCCAGGAATGTTCGCGTTAAAAATTCATTCGCATGCGAATAGTCAATTGACGATCTTCGATGAATTTGCAATTCATAGAGGTGCGTCTGTAATGAGATGGGCGTTCGGATACGAAGGATTCACTATTGGATTTGTGCCGTGTGCGTCATAGGCACACACGAAAACAGCCATCGATGATAAGAGCGCACTTGTCAATGATAGACTCTAATTAAACGAATCGGAAGGTAAATATGAGGTCATATTGTTTACACGATTGACACAGCGATATTTGAATGAGTCAATCGCCGAGTCGGTTCAATTAAAATCTAATACGTATATCTATTTTACGTTATTCTTTAGTGTCGAATTATCAGATCCTTATCGACTATACAAGTTATAGCGATCAAGATAGTGCACGGAAAACGGATGATGTAATGACAGAGGATTGAGAGGGCGAGATCAATATCACGCGATCTCTGAGTCGCTTTCCCTCGCATGCAAAACGCACAGTCGCGTTCACGCGCGCGAATGAAAGTTCAACGATACTCGACGGAAATTAAGATTACACGAGCGTTACGCGATACTTTTAATGCCCAGAGATATAAAGTAAAGTCGAGATGAGAAATCGAAAGTGGAATAAAATAAAATAAGAAAGAAAGAAAAAATGAATTGAAGAGCGAGTGTATATGTGCGAGTGTATCGTATCCGCGTGAAGAGAGAATAACATTCATTCGTATCACGATTTACTCTCGGAGAGAATCTCCTTTCTTTGGGAAGGCGGAGTCGGGGAGACGGAGGAAAAGAGACGGAGGATTCCGAGGATAGGCGGCCGTGAACGTCCTAGGGCATGTAGACGCACGGCGGGGTGCGTGACCCAATCACCCGTTCACCGGCGTTCAACGAGCGAACGAGCGAGCGAGTGGAGCGGAGCGACGTGAATTCGTGTCGAGTCTTCGCTGGCGCGCGATGAGAGAGAAGAAAGAGGGACTATCGCTCGGAGTATTGTGTAGTGCGCGCGCGCGCGAATACGAGCGCGGAGTATCGTACGGAATCCCCCGAGCGCACGAGCGAGACAGTTCGCGTGTGTGCGTCAGTAGTGGCCGTGCGAAGGCCGACAGTAGGGGAGAGCCGTTCCGTCAGACGCAAGCAGGCGGCAGATAGGCGCGGGAAGGGCGAGGCAGGGAATGCCGCTTCTTCGTCAGACGCGCGCGCGGCGAAGGCGACAGCGGCGCGGCAGCAACGGCGGTGGTGGTGGTGGTGGTGGCGGCAGTTCGGGTCGCGCGCGTGACTCACTTGCGCGTCGCGGGAATCTCCCGCTTCCTCGCCTGTGGCAGCACCGTACGACCTCGAGCGACCGCCGCGTGTGCAAGGCGAGTGTACAGTCAGATGAGGGGAGGGGGTAGCGGTGGCGACGGCGACGGCGACGGCACGATCGGAGAGTTCATCCGGTGCAACGACGCGCGCTTGGCCGCTGCACAGACCGCTACGTGATACACCAGTGTTTCCCAACTTCGCTTCCGTAGCGACATACTTCTAACGTGATCTAATTTCTAATAGGAACAACGTCCAATAGCCACTTAATTCGATGACGATTCCAATACTTTACGGAGAAACGAGATGGGTCAATTAATTCAAAGCGAAACAGCAATGCGTGTTAATTATTAGAATTTTACACGTTGGAGTTTTTTACGTTAAATCATTACCGCATTGCATTATGTATATGTTGTTTCTTTTTTACTTATATCGTAAATAGTTATAAAATATTGAAAGCTGAATGTAAATTATGATTCAACAACGGAGAGAAGGAATTTATTTTCAAATAGTTTACGCAAGAGAAATACTGTATGTCATTAATTTGATTTACACAAAACATTGCATTGAGTGGACGTTAATTGGACGATGTATTCGCATATCTGGCATGAGCACAATCGAGTGATATATCCAATGATAAATGTGACAATGAATATGCTGTTCGCGTACGTTAAAATACTATTAATAAACAGTTGAAAATTATTGATGCTACACCGAGAATGAATACACTGAAATGAATACTGTCTACCGCTACAAAAAGCAACATTTTACCGTTATCGATTACCGCATCAGTTAAATTAAACTTTATCCTATAACGGCGGAAAGGGATCGGGCAGCTATCGTAAACAGAATTAATGAACGTGAGTGAGGAAGTGACCTGCAGTCTGACTCAGAATCAACAAAGATGCCTCGAGGTTTCGACTCGTTGATTTCTCCTTACACGCTGAAGGATTTCCGCCGAGCTCGTCACGTTAAATATTTAAAAACCTGTGGCATCGCCGAAATTATCTCGCTTCTTCCTCGACGCGAGGCGAGAGGAGGACAATCGAGGGAATCGGCGATCTCTCGCCGGCGAAAGTCGTGAAATCGCGCGGCCGGTTTCCGCAATCCGCTGTTCGATAACGCTCTCGACACCACTGATTCACATATTCGACGGAATTCCGAGCATTCGCTGACACTTCGTGTACAGGTGCGGAGTGACCGATGTCATTGTATAATATAATAACACGCGAGAATGGCGCAACGCCATTCAAGTCTGATTTCCCGTTTATCAATTGAGCCAGATAAGAACGAGCTACACGGGCTTCTTATGTTTCGCGCGATAATTAATCGACATTGCGAGAACTCGTGATCGCGTTTCCCCGTTTTTCAACTACGCACGATTGAGAAATCACGTGTTACACACAAGTCGGCACGTCTGGCACCTTGAATCCCGTGTTAAAAGTCAACAATAGAGAAAAAAGAGAAAAGTGGGGAAAGAAAACATATGATTGTTAAAAGTATCAGAAATATCAGAATCCCGATTTAAAAATTCAACTTAATTGACAGAATAAAAAATTAATATTAAAAGTTCCTGCATATCCGTTCGAAGTTTCGAAAATTTCTTAAATGTCGCGGTTAAAATTGTCAAAACTCGTCGACATGAATTTGTCAACTTTTTCAACAATGAAGTCAAAATGAAAAATAAAAGCAAGATAAAATTTTCAGGATCTCGAAAGGTAGAGCACTAATTGAGAATCCGACGTAAATAAGTGTGAAAATTGAGGCATGACGGGATTAAGTCGCGGTCAGTTGAACGAGCGTTTAACATGTCTGACGCGTCCGGCATAAAACGATTAACGAATTGTCAGGTCCATACAGCGTGCGGTAGCATGATGATGTACGTTGTACGACGTTGTACGGCAGACTGAACGAACTATTCATAGGTTGCAATTGGTCGTTTGTACGAGTTTACGCTTCGTCTCTTCGGGCTCTCACCCAGGCTGTATCGTATATACGAAACGATATCTACATACGAAACTTGCTTCCCTATCACATCTGCTTAACGCATAACGCAACAAAGCTAAATAAAGCATTTTTTTGTATTTGGCAATCGACGAAAAAAGGATTACGGAATAATCTTGAAGTATCTTTTTGAAGTAACGAATACGTAACTTTTATTAAGATTTCTGTTTTATATTTATTTAGCTGAAAAAGGTATAAAAACTGGATTATCAATCACGGTCGCTCGATCTTTACGTTGTGTTTTTTTGGGCGGGAAAAACATCAGCTTTCGATTTATTAGATACGATCGTCTACAATGAACCATATAGATTCGTTATATGTTTGCGTCGCGCTTTTGGTCAAACATGGGATACAGCGGGAGTTATCTTCGCGCGTACGCCTGCTGATGCATCATTAAGGGAGGGGACAGAGGTCAGGGAGCGAGCTATCAAGATAGAGGGCAAACAATAATAACACCAATACATCAATAAGATACTCCAGAAGCTCGCGCGGCCTGGCTTCCTAAATCGGGATTTTATTCGGACCGGAGAAAATGACGGCGTGGGCGCGAGATTGCTAAACTCGGCGACCGAAAGTCCGAAAATAAAACTTTATGCCGAGAGCCCGCAACTAACTTTACGCGCACAATGGTACGCTGAAAATCTGACGTCTTTTCTTTTCTGACGTGGCAATCAATCCAAAATAAAATGGCAGAGGCAATTCTTTTATTTCGCAGAATTTTATTTTCAGAATTTTATCGAAGTATGATTGACAATTTCATGCGAGACGCATGACATTTCGTAACAAACTAAATTACGGAATTTTCCAAGACGAAAATGTATCCTGCATAAAAATCGCGTAGCGATGCTCCTCGAGATATTTCGTCAATTGAAAATAATTCTGGATGAAAAAAAAAGCAAATGGCATCGGAGCAAGATAAGGTCATATCAATTTTTACTTTTTATTGATGTAAATTGAGATTTTTACAATTATATTTATTAAAATATTTTTAAAAAACCTATACACGAATAACTCCTTTAGTTTCATATAAAGGTTTATTTCAAAAACATTTGTCATCATTTTTCTCCGCGTTGAAACAAACTTGAAAATAATTTATTTTAACGCGATTTTTTTTCGTTGCGTGTCCACAAAACTGTCGAACCATAACGAAACGCCTATTGAATATTATTTCGCACCTTAGTTTCTCATGAAATTAAGCAGGATTGGTGCGCATTATGCGCAGAGAAGTAACTGTGGCGTATTTTTATAATACTGGCGACCAAAATCTGCATCTGCATTTGCTCGAAATGCAAACAAAACGTGTATCGTGACCCATTTTCATCGCTCTGCGGACTTTGCGAGTGCATGCGAGCTTATTCGCTCACCGCGTATTTATTGCGCAGCCGTACGCGTTTGCGAAGTATATTCGTTTGGAGCAGCTCACGCGAATGTATGCGCGTATAATGCACGAATAACTTCAATAACAAGCTGTAATTTCAGACAAATATTTGAGAGGCCGTTAATTGAATAACCCGAAACTCTCCGGGCGGTACGCCCTCGATGATAATCCCTGTTTCGCTGTTTATCCTTTCTCAATTTACCGACGTTACCCACCGGCTCGATTCGCAACGCGCGGCGTTTAAAACACAAAGCTCCTTCCATCGTTCCTTCGCCCAATAACCTTAGCGTTACGCCACGCGCTCAATTTGGAAGACTTCTCAAACGTTTAATTTCCTACACGTTACAGATCAAGCAACGAAGCCACTTGTGAGTCAAAATCCATTGTTCGAGTAGCAATATGGTAACGCATATCGTCATTATGTACAGTACAACGTTACAAAGATACCCACCGTACATCACTTTACATTCACGTTATAGCATCGTATACGTATCGTATACATGGATATTTTATGTAAATTCGCGATAGTATGAAACTATCATAACGACGCCGATGATTCAGTTTCCTCGCGCCTGAACTTTTACGTCGGTCCGCATGCATAAAACGTCCTGTGATAATAGTCCGCGTAGATATCGCGCTGTTTGCGCGCGTGTTCGCGAAGCGCGTAGGATTGAGCGAATAAGAATGGATATGATGGCGAAGAACGTGTCATCGTCGTTTCATTCATCTCTACCGGATTCGCGGCCGCCGCCGCCGCCGCCGCCGCCGCCGCCGCCGCCGCCACCGCCGAGTAGAGCGTAATGAAATCCCTGTATCTCGCGTGTTTACGTCACTCGCGTATCCTCCCACGGCGCGTGTCCTCTCACAAAGGAGTGTTTTTTTTTATCCGCAGGCCGGCTCATTGTACTCGCGCGCGCCGTGCACTTTGCATTTGCAACTGCAATTAACTCGATTCATTCTCTCTCTCTCTCT